ATGCAGGTTCCTAGCTGTCAGTCCACAGTCTGTGAATTCCCTCTAGGTTGGGTCATGTGGAGTATGGGAAACACTCCTCCATTCCTAATGGGAGTGCAAACTTATACAGCCACTTTGGAATCAGTACGGCTGTTTCTCAGAAAATTGTGTATCAATCTCCTTCAAGACCTAGCAATACCACTCTTGGGCATTTACCTAAACAATGCACAACCATACCACAAGGATATTTGCTCAGTTATGTTCATAGCAGCATTATTTGTAATAGCCAGAACTTGGAAACAACCTAGATGCCCATTAACTAAAGAATGGATAAAGAAAATGTGGTACATTTACACAATAAAGTTTTATTCAGAAGTAAAACAAGGACATCTTGAAATTTTCAGGCAAATGGATGAAACTAGAAAAATCCATCCTGAGTGAGGGAACCCAGACCCAGAAAGACAAGCATGGTATATATTCAACTACAATAATTTGCATGTCATTCTGCCTGACTTGTGATCGGGTGGTTGAAGAAGAAATGATGGGAATATAAAGGTCATAATGAGTTATGAGTAAGACATGCAAAATATCCTGCAGGTAGTCTTTCTCTTTATCTTAGTGAAAAGATATCAGTGTTTTCACATTAGACTCAAAATAATTTATGCATTAATCTACTTTTAACTGAAGGGAGTTATCTAAATAAAGTGATGTATATAAATCAAACAACATCACTTTTTATAGAGTGACAGGAAGGTTGAATGAAGGACAAGCCACGCTCGAGCTGAGCTTTCTGCTATGTGGTGATGAAATGAGTTCACCTCATTACCTGTCACATAAATTGATTCCATACATTAGAATAAAATATGCATTCTATACATATGTGCACTTATTTCTAGAAAAATCTGCTCCTGAGTGCTATGACTTGCAAGGTTTAGGATTGACTTAACTGAGGTGGGACAAGATTGAAGCCATGAAAGGCTTACAGAGTCACACATACAGAAGATCTGGGATCAGGTGGGACATGTTCTCTGAAACTCAACAACAGGTGCTGAGCTAGCATGGAAGAGAAAGAGGCAGCTTAGGTCATCTCGGTGGGGACCAGTCTCCAGCTGAAGGCATCAGAGACATCATGAGAAAGGAGGTAGGTTAGACAATCTTAGTGGGGAACGGTGTCCAGCAGCAGGCAATAGAGGTGCTTTCTGCACACACTGTCAGTATCTGTTCTTGTGGCAATAGAAGTTCTTATCATTTCTCTGAGCTTGACCCAGGGAGCCTTTGCCATTCCTATGGGTCTGAAGCATTGGTATCCTTGACTTGGGTGTGCTCATGTCCTTAATACATATTCATCCAAGACTTCAACCAGTCCCTTCACATAATCATGAAAATACACATAAAGAGAAATGGACCTTAAACAACAGAGAAAACTGGACATACAAGCTGCATGCTTTGCAAAAAAATTAAGTAATGGAAAGAAAATTATCTCTTCGAAAATATTTATTTTTAACAAATGCCAAAGTAATAACTCCTCAAATAAAACATGCTTTATTCATGTTTAAATCCCATATGTGAAGCTTGCTAAGTCTGACACATTGAAAGATTAAACAGCAGCATGATGTTCTTATTTTTACAGTTCTGCAAGACAAATAAATTATTTATGTCATGGACAAACATTTTGAAAATGTAGGAAGTAGGAGGAGAAGGAGTTCTACAGGGCGATCAGCTCTAGACTCAATAGAATCTGTAGGACTAGTAACTCCAGCAGCAACATGGGGACAGCAGCTGTATCCATACTTGCCATAGCCATAATACAGGGCACCATAATAGCAGCCATAAATAGTTAATGGCTTTGAACGTGGAAGGGTTCAATTGAGCAGACTGCATTTTCCTCTTTGTGAATGTCACCAGCTGCCCATAATTTTTCAACAATTTACATGGTGGGAAGGGCAAGCCACAGGAAGGTGTTAGCTTCATGCTTGACATTAATTCATATTTTAAACTTTTAGGACGCACAGTTTATTAGGGACACAGATGCTTTCATAGTTAAGCATCCTTTTGACATTATGTCAGGATTCCAAAAACCCAAGCAGATATCTTTAACAGGAAAGTTTGTGATATATGAATGTCCAACCATGAAACACTATGCTTTTGTTAGTTTAATGTCTATGACAAGTATTCATGGGAGGCACTTTGTCCTTGAGCTTTTTACTCTATTTTGTTATAGACTTTTCATTCCACAGCAGTATGAGCATTTGGGATTTATTAGTGTCTCTGTGAGGAGTTCATGACCAGAGACATTAGAGTAGCTACAAAGCTAACAAAATATCTATCCATCATTAATATGTAAATAATTATGTCCTCTAGATAAGCACTACCCATGAATATTTAATGTAGAATGTCTGTAAGTCCTTTGTTGTTTTACTGCCATCTCTTTTTCACCTTGAAATTTGTTAGGCAGTACCTTGCTAGTTGGTATCTTGGTTACTTTATTTTGAACTATGGAATTTTCCATGTACTTGTTTGTTAATGATCCCTTAAATGGGTGTCTTCCCTTGTGTAAATAAATAACTTTTTAAATTTGAAATCCACATTGTTGTCTGCTCTGTTCAAGACTGAGGTATTGATCATGTCTCAATTCTAATACAAATAACTGATAAGAGATTTCCCCAGCTTCCCCTGCATGGGTCTGGTGCCTTTATTGGCCTGTTCAGATATCTTCAGCAGTGGCATGTTAAAGAAAGAGAACAAGGGTCAAGCTATGACCCGGTGCAAGAGTAGATAGACTGTAGTTTCCGTGAGTAAGCAATATTTATTTAGAGATGTAAGTTTCCTATTATGCAAGGTCTGGTGTCTCCTAAGTAATATTATTTTCCATATTCTTCTTTTAGTGCATATACTTTCTTTTCAGGATGAATATAGAAGTATTTATTTTATGTTGTACATTAACAGTGGATAACCTGTATATTAATTTAATGCAAAAATAATAAAGAAAACATTTAATGAGAGAAGTAAAAAGTATAAAATAATGCTGAAAGAGATTCAATCTTTTGCTTGCATATGGCAAACTTTAATATTGGTAAGCTGTAGGAGTCCTCAGATGATCAGCAGTTTCAATAAATCTATTCTATAATCTTAGCTGGTATTGCAGGAATGTTGAATATGACTTTAAAATTTTTTTGAATATTTAAGATAAACAACAGCTGAGACAATGGTGAAAAGTAGTAAAGTCAGAGGCTTTGCAGCTCTCGGCTATAAAACAGTACAAACTACAAGGGTTGATATCTTGCAAGTTTAGAATTAGAACAATACACATACTACTGTCTTAGAATTCAATCCCGTGTGTGTGTGTGTATAATATTGTAAACCCAGTAATTTATGATTAATTGATTTTCATGAAGAAAATCTGTTGAATAAAGAGTATAATATTTTAAACATATAGTTCTGTTATAATTGGATATTCCAATAGAAAAAAATCATTAGTATTATTTTTTACACTTATGTCTCTGATTCCTCTCTAGTTAAATATTTGTTAGAATAGAAAAAAATGTTACCATTAGTGAGTTTTATATGTGCATATCCAATTTGAATAATGTCATAATGTCACAAATATTATAAATTCAGTCACGAAATGGTCCAAGCCTAAGATTCATAGGCCCAGAAATCAGAAGCATTCTGCTTTGTGAAACAAAAGTAGTAATATGATGTGTTTGAAGTGTCTAAATACTGTATTCTCTGTTGACAGTTTCCACTTCCCCTCCTTTTCCTTTCTCCCATGTGTGCCTACTGACAGGTAGCTGCAGCCTCCAATTACCTGCTGGGAGTATCTGTGGATGATTCCTCTGTGACAGGCTTCTGAGAGAGACTCAGAGCTAGAAGGGTGGCAGATGTTAAATTATTTCATTCCTATTAGTAAACATTACATGAACTTTGGCAACTGTTCCTTTTTAAATATGTTACAAAAATCACTTTGTTTATATATCTCTAACAGCTATGTATTTCGATTCCCGTGGAAGTTATAATGCGATTCCCAAGCTTCCTTAGTCAATTTAAGCAACAGTAGATTTGATAAATCAAATAAGTCACCCCACACACGTTTGCATATACATTTGTTTATATTGATTAGGCCATTATCTTCCAAAAATAGACAAAATCATCTCTTTTTTAACCGTTTTTTTAAAAACTCTATTAACAATGCATTCATCTCTGTGAGGAATCACTGAAAGTCTTCTGCACAGGAAAATGACTGGCAGCCTAATGGTAATCTGTATGAAGCAACAAATAAAAGTTAGATGGGAGAGTGATACCTAAATTGATCATAGAACATATACGTCTATGACTTATGGAAGCATATGTGAACAAATTACAGCAACAAAAATTTCATTATATTAAAATTTAATTTCTTGTTCTTAAAAGATAAGCCTCTTTCATTGCAATTAGGGAAGAGATATCCCAAAGGATAGGTCTATATTTAATGGAAGTATTTTTTTTCAAAGTGCAGTAATGGAACTGCCCTTCCGTATATCAAAAAAAGGGTTAAAAGGAGTTAATTATCTTAGCTCCTTGTAAGTTGATTTGTATCACATAATAAAATCAGGCCACACAAATTCACTCGAATAAATACAGAATAGAGTGGTGAGAAATCAAGAAGGACTTTATTTCTTTAGAATAAATTTAAATCATTTGTCTTTTGAGAATTTCATAAATAGATACTGTATTTACCTCATTCCCACCTCCCCCCCCCAACTCTGATTTCTCCCATGTCCACCTCCACCTTAAAGTCCCATGATTTGACTGGAATTCTGACATAGGAGCACAGTCATCTCAGCTATGCAGCCTTGTGTATCCAGTAAATGATGGAACTCGTGATGTTTCTGAAGCACAGTGCACAGACATGTGACTCTATAATGCCTGTGGTTTTTTCCCAGGAACAACCCAGGTGTATAAAAGGTCCCTGGGCAGATGGGGACATCCAGACTCAAGGACCCTACAGCTTATTATCCTCTAAATACCCCACTCCTGACACCATGTGTTACTATGGCGGATACTATGGAGGCCTGGGCTATGGCTATGGTGGCCTAGGCTATGGCTGTGGCTATGGTGGCTATGGTTATGGCTGCTGTAGCCCACTGTGCTATAGAAGGTACTGGTCCTGTGGCTTCTACTGAGAAGATTCTGTAGCTGCTCACTCCAACTTTCTTCACATCAGAAGTTCTTAAAAATTTGCCATAAATCCGGTTTTATTCTAAACTATCTGATGAAAGGTAAACAAAATACAGCATGAACATCATACTCCTCATCTGCATTTCGACAGTGTGTCAGCTTCCAGGATAGCCAAAACAATCCTGTACGATAGAAGAACTTCTGGAGGCATCACAATTCCTGACTACAAACTCTACTAAAGATCTACAGTACTGAAAACAGACATAAAAACATACAGGAGGACCAATGGAACCAAGTCAAATACCAGGATATTAATTCACATACCTACGAGCACCTGATTTTTGACAGAGAAAATTGTTTTCATAACATCTTTGAAAAATGAGACTTAGTTAAATTATTACCTATTGTATTAAAATAATTTCCTTTTAAATAAACTAGTCACTAAAAATATTGATTCCTTTGGCTCTGTTTAGTGGTCTCCATCAATATTGGATGTATGTCTGTGTACTCCTGTCTGCTTGGTCACAACTGTGTGGGTTTTTGTGGGAAAATAGTAAGAAAGCAAAAGAGTAAGAAAGAAAAGGAGAGAGGGAAAGGAATGTTTCCTTTGAACATTCATCTATTAAAATTGATAGACATTTGGGTTGTTCCCACATCTTTGCAATTGTGAGTAATGTCCCAATGAATCTGGTAATTCTGATATTTTTCTGGGGTCAAATTCTTTTGTCTTCTAGTTAAGATGTCATAAATATCACAAGTTATTTTTATGAATATCCGAGGAAGAGCCTACAGTGTTTTCTATAATGGCTGCCATCATACACGTTCTTGCAGAAGTGGGGGTGGCTTCCCTTCACATGTCCTCTGATACCCATGTGCTTTCTAAGAGTCATTCTATTAGCAGCTGCAGTCTTATTGTGACTTGGATTTGCAATTTTGAGATTTTAGTGAAATGGACCCTTATTTCTCCCTCTGGCCATCTGAGATTTCCTTTTGAAAATTGTCTATTCCAGTCCCTGACATTGTTATCATCGTTTGCTGTCTTCCCGCTGCTCAGTTGGAGATACTATCTCGTTTTGGTTATTAATTTCCCATTTCTTGTGTATATTGATTTTCTTTTCAGTTATGGATTGCTCTGCTGTGTAAAGAGTCCTAGTTGGATACAATGTGACTTTTCATTTTTGTTGTCTGTTTTGAAAGTCATAACCAAATTGGTTCTGAGACTAAACATTAGTTCTGTGAAAATTTCATAAACTATGTTTTGATCATATTTACCCTTCTTCCTAACTCTCTCCCAGAGCACCCCTCCCCCACTTCTTTCCCTGACCATACTACTTTGAGTCTCTTTTATGTTGATCTAGCATTTTCAGAAAAATTTTTTTTTCTTTGTGATATAGTAATAAAATTTTATTAAACATAGTTATTTGAATTGTACTGCCTATACACCACCCTGTGATGTAGGGATATCTATGGGACATACCCAGGTTTACCTGCCTAAAGAAACTATCTTCTAGAAGCTATCAGTTTCCAGTGTCTCCTTAGCTAGTAATGGGATTTTGTGCCTGGCTCCTTCCTTCAAGTTGGGATTTTGTGTGGTATGAGCTTGCACAGATATTGTGTATGTTGTCACAACTTTTGTGAGTTCACATGGTCACATTTTCTGCTGTGTCTGGAAAGCAGTGTTTACTTGTATTCATTCCCTCGTTCTTGCTTTTACAATCTTCTTCTCCCTCCTCTGAAACAATGATACCAGATCTTTGTGAGAATAGGATATGATATAGATGTCTCATTTATGGCTGAGGGTTCTGCAATCTCCTATACTCTGCTCATTGACCAGCCATGGGCCTTTGCAAAGAATCAACATCTACTGCAAAAGTAAGCTTTTTTTTGAAGAAGATTTAATGATACACCAACCAATGGACATAATGGAAAGATATTGTCAGTCTTTAATATTGTGTCTACTAGTAGCACAATAACGACAAGTTTCCTCTTGGTCCAAACACATGTCCAGCCATAAGTTCTTGTCCTGAGAATAGTGCCAAGTATTGATTTTATATTATGAAGTATGCCCTTCTTAGAAACTGGTCGTTTATTCCCATGCTCTTCCTACAACTATTGAACCAGTGGGTGAGTCTTGCCAGGTGAGATGCTTTGTGGCTTGCAGGGTTTATGCGGCTGCATAAGAACAATGGCCACTTTCCCCCTTATGCATCATACAAAGAAATTTCCAGAAAGAAGAAATCTAGCTAACTGAGCCAAAGCTTCCATGTAATTACCTGATTGATTTTCTTCATGTTCTGTGACTCACAAGTTTCTCATCTTCAGCAATAAAGTCTTACCATCAAGTCTTGAAGCTAAATAAGAGGAGTTGCCAAAGTCTTCCATTTTGAGGGTGCCTATGAGATCTTTGTAGCCAACAGTTTTAGAAAGGGTAGCCTGTTCTTGGCAATAGTCCTTTTATTTCTTAGCCTATAGTATCTTGCCTTTAGTTCCACCCTTACTCTCTTCAAAGCCCTGCCCCTCACATCCCTTTAGTAATTTCCTGACCTGTACAAATCTGTAATAATAAAAATGTCTTGGTGCTGGCATAATAATAGACACAGTGGTAATGGGTCCTGATAGATAAGAAAGCAGGAAAAGCTCTAGAACCCGTTAGCACAGGGCGAGACTTTCAGACTAGAAATTCAGAAGTACAGTTGTTAAGACCAACAACTGATAAATGGGAACTCATAAAACCAGAGCTTCTGTACAGCAAAGGATGTCATCATTTGAGTAACAAAACATGATGTGTGATTCCCCTCTGTATGCTGTGGATACCACTAGTTAATAAAGTAACTGCTTTGGCTAGTTTATAGGTCAGAGCAGAGCTAGGCAGAGAAAACTAAGCTGAATGCTGGGAGAAAGGAGGTGGAGAAAGAGAGAAGCCATGCAGCCCCACCAGAGACAGATGCCAGAAATTTAGCCAGTAAGCCCCAGATTAATAGAATACACAGATTAATACACAGATGAATAGAAATGGGTTAAATTAATATGTAAGAGTTAGCCAATAAGAAGCTAGAGCAAATGACCCAGCAATGATTTAAATAATATAGTTCCTGTGTGATTATTTCAGGGCTGAGCAGCCAGGAACCAAACAAAACCCCTTTTTAACAAAAACATTTTATGTAATAGAAAAATATTTCAAGGTTATAATTCCAATATAAGCCTAGCATATAAAATACACAAATGAATCAAAAAACTAAACATCAAGAAAACAAGCAATTTTAAAACAGGACATGGACTGGCTTTGTGGGAGCCTAGGCAGTTTGGATGCTTACCTTACTAGACCTGGATGGAGGTGGGTGGTCCTTGGACTTCCCACAGGGCAGGGAACCCTGATTGCTCTTTGGGCTGACGAGGGAGGGGGACTTGATTGGGGGAGGGGGAGGGGGAGGGAAAGGGAGGCAGTGGCAGGGAAGAGACAAATCTTTAATAAACAAATAAATTAAAAAAAAACAGGACATGGAACTAAACAAACATATCTCAAATGATGAACTATAAACACATGAGAAACATATAAAACTGTTCAGCACCATTAACCATCAGAGAAAGGCAAATGAAAAGAACCTTGATATTTCTTCTTACCCTAATTAGAGTGGCTAAGATGAAAACGCCACTGACTACTGAAGTCAGAGACTGAGCCTTCATTTCTCAGCCACCCAGATCTGAATAATCACATAGAAACTATATTAATTACAACACTGCTTGGCCAACAGCTTAGGCATATTCTACCTAGCTCTTATATCTTAAATTAGCCCATTTCTATTAATCTGCATATCACCCCAAGACTTTGGCTAACTAGTACAGTTATGGCATCTTTCTCCTTGGGCAGCTACATGGCATCTCCCTGACACCACCATCTTTCCTCCACCATCTCTCCTTGAATTCCCCACCTTGCTGTATTCTGCTCTACCATAGGCCAACACAGCTTGTCTATTAGCCAATGGTAATTAAACATATTCACAGCATACTCATCAATGTTTGCTTTGATTCTTCATACATGTGAGTTTAATTTGGAATATCCCAGGCATTTGTATACAAATTTTATTGTTGAAGTTTACATATATTCCCTGCTTTTAAAATTTTATTTCTATATATTGCTTGGTTTCATATATAGGCTCTTTCTATATATGCAAGACTAGTTTTAATATTTAATTATTATAATTATATTACTGGAGGTATTTGTGGATTCAAAGAATTTCAGGTTAGGCACTGTGAAACCAGAGAGAAAATGTCTACTTATGAAATCATCCAGTAGATATATTTACCATGATGTGATCTCATTTACATATATTTGTTTCTATGATTGTTATACTCCCTGAACTCAGTGTGTTTAGTAGATACGTTTTATTTTTATAGAACATATATTTTGATACATTTCTGAAAAGTTCAGATGAAACAAAGCCATGCCTTCCAATGATTGCTTTGTACCGTAAATATGAATACTCCAGTCCTCTCCTACAAACTGAGCCAAAGAAAGTGCATGTGGTTTCTTTGACCAATTGTAAGGAGTCTTGTAAAGTACAGTTGTTCTTTAGAGGGGACAATGTTCAGGCATATATATATCTGATGTATTGTGCATAGAAGGCGTAGGTCCCATCACTGGAATTATACACAGAAATTGATGTTCCTGTGTGTGTGTGTATCTTCATGTGTATGTTTGTAGTAGGCGCACATATGTAAATGGGTGGTTGGGTGAACAGTCATAGAGTCCAGGGAAGAAATTATTGGTCCTGTTCTCTCTCAACAAACTTTATTCCCAATAGACAGGTTCTCTCACTGCAAATGGAGTTGGCCTGGCAACAGCAACCCTTAGAAGTCCCCCTGTTTCTTAACCCTACAGCACTGATGTGACAACATGACGCTTTCTATATGGGTTCATGGGATTTGAATAAGGAGCTTATGTTTTTACAGCTGATACTCTTATCTACTGAGATATCTCTCCAGATGCCTGGTACACTGATATCACTGCTCTCCTGCTAAACCATGTGTGAGAGCACGTGGATGCCCTGCTAACACAACAATAACACATTAATCAGAGCTGACTTTAGATTACTCACACTATCATAGTGCATATCAAA